TATTTATTAAAAAATAAGTTAAAGAGACGAAGGAATGTCGCAACAGATGCTATTTAGTTTTGCATTTCCGTGACCATCAAGAGTCAAAGAAAGAGTTCTTTTTGTAATTTTTTACAGATGTGTTTTCGTACACTTGCGATATTTTTTCTTTTTTTAAGGATTTTTCGAGATTTAAATAAATTCTTAGAGACTTTTAGAGATTTTAATAATTCTGTGTTTTATGCTGTGTTTCTTTACTCCTTGGGCAAAGGTTTTATTTTTATATTTATTGTTAAAGAGACGAAGGAATGTCGCAACAGATGCTATTTAGTTTTGCATTTTGGCGACTTTGTGATTAAATCATCTGCTGATACACAAAACTCCGCAATTCTTGAATTTTAGAGAATCGTAAGAGAAATCCGAGTGTATTTAAGGTGAAGATCTCGTCCCATTATCAACGAAGATTTATGTTTTGCTTCATTATGGCAATCGATGACTCTGTTTTACATCTGCTAGTTCCATTTGTCAACTTCCATCATGCCAAATAGCGTTGTTGCATTATACAAATCGAGTGAAATGTTAATAAGTGAAACTCTCTAAATATTCGATCAACAACGTTCCAAATATAATATTTAAAAGTGATCAAGAGAAGGGGACACGAAGATCTCGGCAACCTCCACTTTTACAAAAGTCCTTCAGCATATTGACGCGACTTAACTCTTCAACAGTTTGCCAAATTCGAAGTAGGTGCGCCGTTATTTTGAGAAAGAAATCATTAAATCAGTCAGAAGCCAACTGATCAACTCCAGTTTACGCTCAATTTTCAACAAACAAACAAATAATGGTAATAATAAACGATGGTAAATAATAAACGATAAGGACCCAATGTGAATTTAAGATATAATTTAATTCCTAGTGCACCGAAAATATTAATTTAATTCGTAGTAAGTCGATGAAAAATTGGTTGGTACCAAGTATTATAGGAAGCACTAATATTTGATAGTATTACCACAGCAATATTGGTAATGTTATTGTCAATATTAGTAGTATCATTATTACATTATTAAATATTTGGTAATATTTAGCAAGATTTCGGACGATCCAAATAAACGACTACCGATCTTAAACGACTTACTTCACTTACTACCAATTATCAGGTATCTCGTTAAAAACTGAAAAGTGCAATTACCTACAGACACACAAAGATCCGTGATCCATTGATTCAATTAGCTCTCTTTAAAACTCTCCCTCTTACGACCAGATTTACGTAAACGTATTGCAAACGTATTGTAAATCTTAAAAATTCCTACGTACAACGAAACGAGCCACATTGTTAAAAGAGCTACGTACTAGAATTTCACGAGAACGTGGAAAAAAAGAAAATGAAATTCCATGGGACATGGAAAAGTGGGGAGAGAGGGATCGCGGACGAGTGTCGAGAGCGAGGAACGTATCGTTGGCGCGGCGTCGCGCTTTAATAAGCGGTAAAGTAGCGAGGAAAGTGGACAGTAGCCTGTTCAACGGCGTGGAAAAATCGGTGTAGCCCTGTTGAGCGTGCGCGTGCGCACGCCATAGGCCGCGAGAGCACGTTGAAACCTCGAGAGCGCTATCGGCCTCGTGTATCAGCGCCGACAATTAACAATTATTGCGCGCACCTACTCTCGCGGATAAGTCACGTTGTTGCGTAGAATTTATTATTAGGACGCGCGCCCGCGCGCCTCTACAACGTCACGCAACAGACACGGGCGCCCTGCAAGGACGTTCGCCATTGCTAATCGATTCGGTCGATCCGCTTGGTTCTTGTTCGAGTTGTCTGCTCGGGTGCTATGCACTCGAAGGTATTCGTTTCCGAGGGATTTGACAAGGTAGGCGAGACTCGAGATTCGACGGGAGAACTGACGTACGAACGAGAGTGTCACTGGGGTTATTATTTATTTAGAAATATCTCGCAAGAGGGAGAAAAGAGTTGTTATATTTTGGAGAATTATGTTTTTCGTGGAGAAGGTCGAGCTGAGTTTTTTTTTTTTTTTTTTTTTAAATCGAATCGTATAATCTTCGAACGCAGTGATCGATTTATCTGAGAATTCTGTGTGAAGGGGAAAGAACCACAGAACCACAGATAAGTTAATTAGAGAATAGTCAAATAAATCGACTGTTGCACTCCAAATGATACGATTCCATTTAAAAAAAAGTTATCATTAACACCAAATAACGCGGCCCAATTGTACCAACTTTTGTTTGAAATATTCTTTTTCACGAGTTCTCTCAATCCCTCGCGAGATAAAGGGAACACCATGAAATTTTTCGTAGCTACAATATTTATTTGACCAATATTAGTTTCGCGACTGTAAAATTTATATTGCGCGGTCACTCTGTATCTAGAATTACACAACGTTTCAAATTACATAATCTGTATTAGAACACGTTGTGCATTGCCTTTTTTTGTCTGAGAGACGCACGAGAATAGAGACAGTTGCGTCAGTAGTATTGACCCTGGTCAGACAATTGAAACGACACGTATCGTACGCGTCAGTAGAATTAGTTACAGTCAGACAGAAGCGGCGCAGCATGTGCATCTACAATAGCGAGACGTTTTAAGTATCCATCAGTAAAATGAAGCACTCGAGAGACTAGAAAAAAATAATTTACATCTTGTTTTTTGCTGAAGGAGTATTAAAAACATAAAATGATGTATTGTGTCAGACGACGTCGAAGCGTATAATATACAATTGATTTATACATTATTCCGACAACATGAACGTACGTAGTAAATCATGTAAGATCATGATTCGAGAACGATATAAATTTTCTAAATAAATAAACGAAGAAAAAACACAGTTTGTATGATTAAAAAATATACAAATATACACTTTATATATTTAAAAAAAAATTATTGTAAATTATTGTTTTTAAAAATAATTAAAAAAAAAATTGTTGTTCATTATATATCAATCGTTACCTCGTTCGACCATTCATCGAGATAAGAAACGCGGTGAATTAAACTCTCGTTATCGGTTCATCAATCATTTATTTATCCTATCCAGCAGAACGGAAGACATCGTTTGTATTCGTTCGTTTTCATTATCCGTTCGTACAAAGAAAAACCCGCTGGATGAAAAACATTGCTTGCCAATCTCCGTATCGCGCGTGAATCGTGCGACACGCGCGTGTGACCGTCGGATAAATAATCCACGCGTCGCTCGTTCCACGTGCTCCGAGTTACTTACGGAAAGGCCCGTTGTACTCGAAACGCAATTAAGATCTCGATCGACTAATTTGTAACGTTTGCCTATCGCCCTCGTATCTCCATATATATCCTCCGGAGCGAGCAACGAAACAATACTTAAACGTTAGAACAATGTTTCTGGCCAGTATATTTAGAAATGACGTTCTTCCGCGCTGTGTCGAGCGCTGAGCTGCTCGGCAATTGCCTGGTCAGCCATCCGTGACGCAATGAATAATCCAAAAAAAGAAAAGGAAGCGAGAGAGAGAAAGAGAGAGAGAGAGAAAAAACAGATACAAGGAAAAAAGAAATTGAACAGAGGGAAAAATTATCACCGCGAGAGTGCTTGAACGGAGTTCGTAGAACGTAAATGATAGCTACGGTGTTAGGAAAAGTTGGTTTTTTTTCGTTTCAACGGCGGGGGAGTGTAATTTCACTGGTGGATACAACACGGTCGAACGTTGGAATAAGTTACCTCAGCTTTTAGAACTTTATCAGATCGCAGATAAAGTTAGAATTACGAGTACCGTGGCTCTGTGAAATGAAAGTTAGTTGCCCGCCGATTCGAGTAATTCGAGCGAGCGCTTTCTAGAATTTGTTTCCTTTTGTCTCTGAAGTCTGTCAAAACGTCGAACGACAATTTACAGCGTCAAGTTCAATCTCTGCGTTATTTGTGCTCTCAAATCGTCAAGTCGCGTGTTTAGAAACGGCCTGTAGACACGCGCTTTATGTATCATGGGACATCGCGAATCAATAACGAGCGCACCTTGCTCTTTTGCATTAAATAACAATCAACC